AAGGTCCGTTGCCAGCAATGGAGGTCACCGACGGCAATGGGGTGTATATTGCCAGCAACGGAGGTCCGTTAAGCGTGTCTTGTGGGTTGTACAGAGACATTACATTATCGCTGTTGATATACTCGCATTCACATCATTGACCGTTTGTACGCGTTCTGTACGAGGGGGCTGCTCGGGGAAGAACGGGTAAAGGGATACAACTGACATTGCCTCGCTTTGAGACGTGTACATCTGCGTGTTTTTGGATTCGTGCGTGTGTGGCAGTGCGCCATCGACTCCTACCTCCGTTGACTAGGTGCGGTGCACGTGACATCAGGTCGACTTGATTCGTGTGCTTGTCGTCATTCAATTTTGATTGTCTCATCGACAGGTCAATCAGCATCCAGTAAGCGCTATTTCATAGCGTCTTCTAACCCCCAATCACCCCAATCAACCCCCGGGGCGACATCAATCACCACCTTGACCACCAGCAGGACCGCCATCAGGCCGCTCGCAATCGCCACAATGAAGATCAAGTACGACCGCCGTCTGTGTCTCGTCAGCGATGCCGCCCACCGCACACCGAGAGAAGACGACGCGGCCGCCACGATGCCGTAGACAACCGCGCGATCGAAGGGTATCCGCCCCATAAGGGCGTACTGGGCTGTGGTGGAGGTGCTGGTGAAGAGCACGCAGGTGGCCGCCGACGCCACTGCTGACAGGGGCTCGACATGCATTAGCAGGAAGAAGGGAGAAAAGATAATCCCAGCGCTAATCGACATGGATGGTGAGACATGAAGCGGTGGCGGCCCGTCACTCGCTGAGTGGCTTACCCGATGCCGACGAGCCCCGAAAAGATGCCGGCAACGAAAGCCACTAGCCCGTAGATGCAGCAGCGAGGGAGCGTCCAATCCTCGCCTCCCTCTTTCAATATCTTCACCACAAAGTACCCGTGCAGCCACACAGACAGCAGAAAGGCCGCAAAGCACATTCCTCCTCTAATTTTCGCGGCGTGTCGGGAGTGGGGATACTGACGCGAACTGTAGCCCAGCAGAATGACAGCCACCAGTAGAAGGCTCATAAGGAGGCAGTCCACAATGACACGAGACGACTGCAGAGCAGAGTCGAGAGGGCCATGGCCGAGCAGGGGCGAGCTCAGACTGTTTCTCTCCTCGAGCTCGTCTCGATTGAAATGCGGGACCGTGTAGCGCCTGCTGTCCTCTGCCTCGTCCTTGCTGGAAAGGGAAGACATCTTCTCTTGCATGTGGGCGTTGAGGGCTCCTCTGAATGTCTTGAATGTCACGAACGTGACAATGGCGGCCAGAATGCCCGTGAGCAGGTACGCGGGAGTGAGGTTGAGAAGCAGGACACCGAACATGGTGCCGCCGAGTGCCAAAGGGACGGTCATCTGCACCAACTTCTGCATGCAGATCCAAGTCAAGGCCACCAACAAATACACTGCAGAGCGGGTGAATCGTCCTCTCGCGCACCATGTCGATGATCGAGCCCCCTTCCACAGGATGTCTCTTGAGCACATTGTACGACAGTGCCGTCAGAGATCCCAGAAAGATGACCCCCTGAAAGAAAGCAAGGCCACACGCCCAGCAGCTGGAGACGTCGGGCCGACCTCCTTCCTTCCTTAATCATTCACCTTGGATATCGGCACGGCGTCGTGCGGCGTTATGCCCCCGACAAACATGAGTATCGTCACATAAAAGGCACTGCATACAACACATGGCACCAGTGAGATGGAGTGGCACTGCACGCGGCATGTTTGTCTTTGTCTTTGTCTCACCCGCCGCCCATGCCGGCGGCCGACGCCAGCACTCCGCAGGCGAAGAGGGCACCGCCTGTTGAGTAGACGGTGGGGTCGGTGATTGAGAAGGGCTCCAGCAGCATGCCGTCGGTCAGCGTCAGCGCGGAGCGCTCAGCCCGCCGATACTTCCTAGGTTCGAATTCCGAAATAAGTCCGCCGATAAACAAGGAAATGAAAGGTGAGTAAACGAAAGTGTGAGTAAAAGGTGAAAGGACCCTGTCAAATTCTAACGCAAAAAATCACCTTGGCGCATAAGGGTCACGAGCCATGAAGGCATCAGGAATGAGACCCAAACACACCCCTAAAGCCGCCTAGACTTGGGAAAGAGCGACATTTACACTACGTTTACATGTTTCGGAAGCGCCACCCCCCGAATTTTCATGGGTCCGTGACATCTTAAACAAGGCGGTGGATATTTGAAAGGGGTCGAAACCAAGGGGGGCCTTTCCCATGACAAAAAGCAACGGACTTGGCCTGAATTCCTCGTGTATTTCCCCTTTTTCGAGCTGTTTACACATGCCAGATCCGATGTGAGTGAAGAGAATATCCGTGAGAATATCCGTCACTGAGCCACACACACAGAGGTCATGAGTCCCACACGTCACACCACACGTGCATGCAGCTGGTCACAGTACAAATAACGGCCATCATTTCCTCTGGTGGTTTGCCGATTTTCAAATATTTTTCGGCACATTTGGGGCGGTCGTACCCACTGCCTTCAATTCACTCCGGATACTCGCCTCGATCTTCCTAGTTCCCCCCCACTCGCAGTGGCCTCAAGCTGTCCAGTCAGTCATGAGATGCTGGCATCTCCCTCCCTTCATCAGCGCAGCGGTATATCTTCTTGTCCACCACCCTGCAGCACTGGCAGTACAGAGTGTCAGGGAAACAAACATAACTGACCGACATGGTTAGGTAGGACTGCCTGTCAGCCCATCGTTTTTAGTAGCGAACAAACACCTGTCCGTATATAACAGACCAACAATGCACGTACATACAATGGATGCTGCATGGTCATGGATGTCATGCCGTCTCATGGGCCACTTTTACGGCCCGAGATGCACCATACCCGTCTATGAGGTACAACAACACACTGGCACTCGTACCTACTCACTACCTACACTCGTGTGGTGTTTTGAGGTGCTCATCCCATTTCGTGCACGTGACGGTCGGTAGCAGACACACGGTGAGTATCGACCTCCCTGTCATGCTGGATCTCTGTCTGTGTGCCTGTGTCAGTGGTATAACCTGTATCTGTTGTGGTTGGAGACAGAGGGTCCGACCACACTCCTTACTTACCGGTACACAACACCGCCATCTAATCAAAGCCCATCTGTGTCGGTAGTAGGTCGCAACACATTCTACTAAGAAATTAGCCCTGTGCTGACTGCATTCATGTGTTACGTGAATGCATCTTCATGCGTCGTTCAAATGAGTTCGATAACATAGCACAAAAGTCCGACAGTCCGTTTGCCTGGCACTCCGTAAGTTCGTTCGCACCGAACGCTAGCAAGCGAAATGGGCAAATGTTGGGGTGGGCGGACAACACACATGCACACAGTAAGCACCCGACAAGCTGTAGGAGTTATAAGTTTGCTTGCCAAGAACATGTGAGAAACACCTCAGCAGGCGGTGGCATCCACGAGCAGGTGCAGAGGCGAAATGACATGTCGATGTGTATGAGTCTCTCCATGTTTTGTGTGCAGGAATTGATTCGTTTCATCTCGGCTGTCAACGACAGGATCTACACCTGGGCTGAGCTTGATCGCTTCGTCAGGTCCCACCAGCTCTCGGTACGCATTGCGCATGACATTCCCTGCGCTGACTTCCTGCATTATGTGTCGCAGTATGCGGTCAATCTCGTGAGGTGGCTGAAGGAGGAGATGTCGCGCCAGCGGGAGCTGATCGAGAGGTGTGCAAGGATGGCGATATCTGACTTCTACTACCTCTACGTGCAGCCACGTGTGCAGGGGTGAGAGAGGAGCCACGCAGGCCACATATACACGGCACTTATGCAATATCTTTTTTCACAGGGATGGACGCCCGTTGATATCCGACGCGGCCTATCGCGCATTGTGCAGCGCGGTGAGAAATTGACATGCCACGCCTTTTGTTTTTCGGTCACTTCGTGTTTGTTTTACAGAGGTCCCAGAGGGCGATGCAGGAGTTCCATTTGCGCATGATGCGTTTGCACGGAGAGGAGGGGTTTCTCAAGTGGCGCACGGAGGTGGGGTGAATGCAAACATGGCACGAGAAAACACAAATGTGAAGGGCATCTTCTCTGTCTGTTGTGTTTCAACATGATAGTACTACGGGCGATTGGGACGACTCCCAGCTGGCCACCGCCGCGAGACCACCGACAAGAGAAGGAAGACTGTCGTCAGTATCGCGGGTGAGCAAATGAGTGGGACAGAAAGGCAACACCTGTTCTTGTGTGTGTGTGTGTGTTTGCTGCAGCACACCAGTCTGATGTGCCGGGTGTTTCCGGAACGAGAATACCCAGGCCTGGGTGGCTTCCTGGTGGGAGAAGGCTGACGGCAGGCATAAGTACAAGACCTACGTCAAGGAGCACGGCGACAATGCCAAGGTATCCACTCAATCGGCTGAACTTCATGCTGTTATGTCAGCCATGCATGTTGCACCTGTATGTATGTATGTGTATGTCAGGCGAGGGCTGAGGAGCACCGTCTCGAGATGGAGCGTAGCGGG